GGAGGGGAGGGTCTCCATGGAAACTGTTTTCTTTAAATTCCCGCATTCTGGGCACTGAGCGTGTAGGAGGTGATGAAGGAAATGAAAAAGCAAAAAAAAAGAGAAGCTTTTTTCCTTTCTGTTGTCACAAAACTGCTGTAGGAACCTTAGGAGAAATGGGCATAAATTATTGATCATTTCAATGCGAATACATGTGAATTTTAATTAATAATCACCCTCTCATGTCTCTCAAGTGCAGCGGGTGGGGATGAGCAGGCAGCAGCCCGTGACGGACCAGCCTGTGCTGGAGGGGCCCAAGTTTGTCGAGAGACATCTTTGAAAAGGATCTGATGCTGCCATGTGCTCCTGAATTGTAACCTCTTGAAGCCTCCTCCATTTTACCCCTCGGGGATGTTTTCCTGTGCAATGCCAGACTGTTATTACTACCCAGAGATGTCAGAGAAGAGCCAGAGCCCAGCCCATGGGTGCCTGGGGTGATGCTCCTGTAGACAGTGGTGGGTTTTGGGTTGGGTTGAATACTTCCACTCATGAGAGAGGTTTTTTTAATTGTTAGGGTTTTTTAAGATATGAAAGCGTGTTGTTAGCCAGGCTCTGTTGTTATCCTTGTCTGAAATCCTGACGACAGGCACGAGCAAACGGTCAATCTGGGAGGTCCTGTGGACCTGCATCCCCCTTCCCCACAGGCACAGAATAAATGGGTGGCAGGGCCAGAGTGGCACGAGGATCCTCATGATGCCCAGCCCCGGTGTTTCAGATGATAGCTCTGCTGACAAGGTGATGCATTAGGTAGCAGGCGCTGTCTGAAAAATGTCTCACTGCAGCACAGGAAGTTATTTTTAATTCATTGAAAAGTGAATGACCTAAAACCAGCAGCTGGCAATGGAGAAGATTAAATAGTGCAAAACAGATACATTTTCAACCCAGTAATTTTAGAAGGAAAAAATACCACTTAGTGTGAGGTGCACGTTAACACTGCCTGGCCATGGCCTCTGCAGTTCCTTGGCTACTGCTGCAGCTTCTGTTCCAAGTCCATCCCTGGCGCATTCTCCGCATGACACCTCTGCTGATGCCAGGCTCAGCTGAGGACATCGCAGTGATGCTCACCGGAGTGGAGGTCACCTGCTACAGGAATGAAAACCTCTGCTTGAACTGGGGCTTAGCTCAAGCTGCTGGGCCAGATTTGGTTCCAAACACAAAGTTTCTCAGTGCTTGAGCATGTTGGATTTTGGCTGTGGTATCTGTCTGCAGCTGTGGATGTAATTACCTGTGAGAATGGAAGACGGCTTTTGGCTTAACTTTTCAGGGATATGTTTTTTCTTCTATTTGTTAGACCCAATGTCCTTTCCTTGAAATTGCAAATTGGTTTCTGATTCTGCAGGATGCTTAAATGCTGTAGCAAGTCTGGCAGGTTCGCAGCAGCATGGGTGGGATTTGCCCTGTCTAGGTGTTCCTTGCCAACCTTTATCAGGTGTTTAAAAATACCTGTCCTGCCCTTTGAACATGGTGATTGTAGGAAATAGAACTATATCAGGTGGATGTTTTGTTCACTGATGTTTTGCTAATTAAATTTCTGAGGTTCTAACTTCGGTGTGGCATCTTTGCAAAGGTTTCCCTCATGCAAGGGACTTCATGGGTCCTTGCTGTTCTGGCCTATCAGTCAAGCAAATGCAAGGTTAAAGAACTGGGTGGGCATGAGAGACATCTGTTTTTCATAGTAGATGCTTGTTTAACAGCAACATCAAAAATGTGTCTGTACCGTGGGAGCAGGTTGTTGATCTCCTTTTTCGTTCTGCCAAAACTAAGGAACTTACTAGCTTCATGTTATGGCTTAGTTCAGGAGCTGTGCAGAGGAGAGCAGCACCTTGCACACAGTGCAGGGAAGTCTTGGGCACACCAGGGATGGTGCCTGGTTGCCTCCAGTCCGTATCGGATGTGAAATGGTGATCTAGAGGTCAGAGGCTGTGCATCACATTATCTGATGCATTAATGGATTGTAAACCTATTGGCAGAGAGGTGATCTGTTACAAGAGGTTTTAAAGAGTGTGCAAGAACAGCAGAAGCAACCAAGAAGTATGTGTAGATTACATTGCTTAAGGGAAACCAGAGAAAAAACAACCCTGAAAACCTTCCATGACCCATCTTCCCAGCTGCTAAACGGGAATGATACTTAACCAATAGTTCAAAGCCAGCCAAGAGAGGAAGAACAGGTGATCTGAAGAAGTTCAAGATCCATTCAGTAACTTTAACCCCAAAAGACTGAAATCCTTAACAGTTGTCTGTGCCCAATGCTGCAGCCAGCTCTGCTGCACTTAGCCTTGCTCTTCACTGGTGTAAGCAAGAGCAGAGCTCAGCCCCTGTGCATCGCTTTTCAGCCTTTTTATTAATGTTCGTAGCAGATGGTTAAAACCTGTCTGGCAGACTCTGCTGCCCACAGAGGCAGTCTGAGGCAGAAGGGCCCCATGCAAAGGAATAAAGCGCTTCGCCTTGAGAGTTTTCCAGCTCAGTGCCAGCCAGTCCGGCCCTCAGCACACATCCCCCTTTCTGCTTGCTCTGCAGGACGGAGGTGTTACCCTTAGCCTCTTGGGTTTTGCTTCTGCAGCGCCATCTCCGTCTGTGGTGAAATCATCTCCCTAAATCTGTTCACAGCAACCAAGTGTTCTAAGTGAATTAAGATGAACTTCTGAATGCATTCATGTGTCACTACAAATGTGCTTCGTGCTGGAGAGGTGGGACAATATGGGGAAGATGCACAAATATTAATAGGAGCAGCCCAGAGTTCATCACTCACCTGCCTGCAGCCATCTGGGTTTTCACAACTCAGCAGATGTGGTGGGCTCCTTCCACACCATCGGGGACAGAGAAGATCCAGAGAGTGAGCGGGGAAGTCCCCTTGAAGACACAGAGCTGTGGGCAGTGTGAATAAATTGGGGGTGCTCTTGTGTCCCAGGTTTCTCTGTGCTGGAGGGTTGGTTCCCCCCCTGGCATGTCTCAGAAGACACAACCCACCCACATGGGCAGCAGGAGAGGCAAAGCCTGTGTGAACTGAGGCTCGGCAGCCGTCTGCCTGAGTGGGTGTGCTTGAGGTCGGGGTGCTGCTGTGGGCGGGCTGAGGGCAGTGGTGTGTGCTGGTGAGCAGCGGTGTATGCTGGTGATGAGTGTCCCACACCACTGGGACGAGGCGGCTGCCTGGGCGCTGCCGGCTGATGGTGGCTGTTCTGACTCCCAGACCCTCGTGGAGTCACTCGCTCGGCTGAGGGAGCATCCTGCAGCGGAGGTATGTTGTTCTGGGGGAGCCCGCGGCTGTGGAAGGGGCTCTGAGATGCCTCGTCTGGGAGACGCCACGGCATGGGGCGTGCATTTGGTGGGTGCTATCTTGGCTGACATCCTGGGAGACAGACCATTAGAAGTGTTCCCAGCAGCTGCAGAAGTCTGTGCCACTCTCTGAATTTGGGTTGATGGCCTTTTCTTCCTTGTCTTTTCTAATTTGCTGGGGTAACTTTCTAGTAGGTGTCCGAGATGGACAGAAATCATTGGAAGGAGAAGGGACAATTCAGGTTATGTGGTTCAGATGTTTTTTCCACTGGCAGATGACAGAGCTAATAAGCAAGAGAAATCATCGCGGTGCTCAGGGGGCTCTGAGGGTGCCAGTGCCCCCAGTCCGGGTGGTGCTGGTGGCCTGAGTGTCCAGCCGGTGTTTGCAGCCGCAGCTGGCACAGGGATCTGCCCCTTCCCAGAGCTGCAGAGGCTGCAGCCATGGGCTCTACAACCCTGTTAGTACAGGTGGACTGCAGAAATGAGAGGGAAAAGAAATGCAAATGCTGTCAGCCGTCATGGCAGGAATGAGCTGGTTGTTATCATAGCTAAGTGCTGTTCATTGCAAAATCAATCTTGCACCCAGCACTGGGTCTCTGAGGCTGTGTTCATTCTTCCCCTTCCCCACTTCGTGCTGATGGAGAGCTGCACTCCAGGCAGTAGGTGAACACCAGTTGGGCAGTAATTGCCGTGGAATTAACCTCTGACATTCTTCTAAAAATAGGCCCAATAAATCCAGTCATTAGCAGCTCTCCTGCTTGCTTTGCCTCAAGGGTAAACACTGCAGATTAAAGCGCTTACAAGTTACAGGTCCATGCGCGTTTCCTCACTTCTCCCCGTTACTGCAGCCAAGCACCGGTCCTGCTCAGGGGTTTTCTCTCCTGGCGATGGCACTTTGGTTTGTGGGGAAGGGGAGCAGTGTGAGCATGGTGCCTTTTAGGGTGACAGAGGGCTCAAAGGCTTCACTTTAATTTACCTTGATAGATGATGGGAGATTCGGCAATGGTCAGAGAAAAGTGGCAGAGTTGGTGTGGTCACCCAGGCTGCTCTGCCTGGTGTGTTTGGGTGGAGAACACAAAAGTGTCTTCATCCATCTGCTCTCTGTCCTCCAAGGGTGAAGGCAAACCACCTCCCGAAGTGTCGGAGGGGGAGCGAGGAAGCAGAAGAGCCGGGCAGGAGCAAAGCCTGCCCCTTGCACAGGCGCCATTGGCAGGTGCTGGGGTGAGGTGCTGGGGTGCTGGGTGGCACAGAGCCCTCCCCAGGTCCCTGGAATCAATCGCATCACCCGAAGTGGTGGGGGCAGCTCCCTGGGGTGCGAGGGGAGCATGCTGTGCCGTGCCGTGCTGTGTTGCACCGCCCAGCTCTGCACGCCTGCTGCCAGCAGCACTCCCTGGGCTGTGGTCAGCACAGGCACAGCGCGGAGATGGAAGTACCCCTGAATTCGGCTGTTGGGGTGCAGGCCAGGACAAGGCGGCCGGGGTGCCAAGCAGGTCTTGGTTCATGACTGCAAAATTCCAAAATGCTGTGGCCATTATTATCATAGACAATAGAAAAACGGAGATTTATGGAGGTCTCACAGGGGATGAAGCGCTGACAAGGCATGTAGCTGTACAGGGAATGGTGCTTTCTAGATGCCTGTGAAAGCCAGTCTGCGGTTACTTAAATTGTCTTTGTCTTCTTCTTTCCAGCTGACATCATCTCTACAGTAGAATTCAACCACACTGGAGAATTACTAGCAACAGGGGACAAGGGGGGCCGTGTTGTAATATTTCAACGTGAGCAGGAGGTAAGTGCCAGTGAATGCAAAATGCCCATTTTATCCTTTTAAGAGAAGCTTCCTGCTGTTTCCTAATCCGTCTGTGTCACTCCTAACCTCAGGTCTCTTCTGGCAGACTCCAAACTGAAAAGCGACTATTAACATAAGCAGGAACAGATTTCATCTTGTAAAACACCCTCCAAAAACACATTGCATTTCCTGCATCCTTTTGCTCTGGCTGCAGCTCTCTGCAGCTGGGTGTAACTTGGATCAGGCTGGCGCATTTGAGCGTGCCATGGGTGCCCATCTCATAGCTAACACCTCCCTCCAAAAACTCTCTCACACCACCAAAATGTCCAGAAAGCATAGACGGGTGAAACAATCATGTTTCCCTTCCAAAACACTTTGCCCCAGGAAATTTTAACAAACTCTGTGTTGAAAACTTGAGGTCGTGGTCTGCCCAGCCTTCTGCAGGAGTGGCGAGTGCTCAGTCCTCAGCATGGGCGCCTGTGCTGGTGGGCACAAAGCGGGCCTGGCTGGGGGCAGCTGCGTGGGCCCCTGCTGCCTGGGAGATTCCCTGCCATTTCCAAAGCTGTCCCGGTTAGCTGGTCTGGCATGGAGCATGTGGTGTTGCATGGTCTGAGCCGGCGGGAGACGTTCTGCCCTGTGGGTGTGTTTGCTGACAGTGGAAGGGATGAGTCAGGCCTGGCCATGAAAAATGTCACAGTCCAATGATGGTTTTAAATTTTTCTCAAAGTTATAGCCTCAAAATTATTTCTATATACGCTGGAGAGAACTGATCAGTTAAAGGTTACATGCATAGACGCTTCATCAACCTTTCCAGCACTATTTCATTTCTCATTTCCCTCTCATTTTATTATTCTACTGCTTTACTTGAATTTTAAGCTTCCTAGCATCACACTGGGTGTATTCTGTTCAGCTCCTACTTTGGAGCAGTGCTGCACGCCAGGGGACAAGTGGGGCTTCACCAACCCAAACGCTTCATTTGCATGCAGGAAGTTCATCTCCATGATAGTTTTCATTTAATTACCTCAGCCCCATTCAGAGTCTGGTGCTGGGTGGCTCACCATGTGGGATTTGCAGATACATAGTACCTTGCAAGTCTGAGCGCTGAGCCATGGCACGCAGCATCAATTTCTACAGAGCTTGTGTCCTTTTCTCTGTTGCATTATTCTTGCTTTTTATTTGTGCACCTGTGGGGCAAACGCTGCTTATCCTGTGCTGGTGGCATGCTGCCAGTGGCTCCTCTGGGGCTGGTTTTGGCACCTGGCAGGAGCTGGCGCTTGGTGCCAGCCATTCACCGGAGATGGCTGGTGTGGCGGGGTCCGTTCCCTCTCCATTCCTACTCTGTTCCCGCTCCATTCCTGCTGAGAACACCAGCATGCAGGAGCTGGCACGCCAGAAGAGGCCATACCTTGGCTTTCAGACTTGCGCTGCATCACCATGACCAGGCGCTCCTTGTCACTTAACAAACCTTAGAGAACTAAAGAGCCGACAGAAAATGTTCTCTCACTCTGTGCCTTAGACTCCTCTCTGTTCCCCTTCCTGCAGAGCAAAAACCAGCCCCATCGCCGGGGAGAGTACAATGTCTACAGCACCTTCCAGAGCCACGAGCCAGAGTTCGATTACCTGAAGAGTTTGGAGATAGAGGAGAAGATCAACAAGATACGATGGCTCCCGCAGCAGAACGCAGCCTATTTCCTGCTCTCCACCAACGGTATGTGGCCGTGGCCATGGGCAGCCTGGACCGGCTGGGCACACACCGGCGCTGCTGTCCCACCGCCTCGGAACCCTGGGCCCCGACAGCCAGACAGGGCCTTCTTTGTAGTCTTTCTTTGGGAAAAATCTATGTTGAAAAAATGTCAACTCCCTTCAGGGTAACACAGGTGTCACGGGGGAGCAGGAATGGGTCCAAACCTGTCTGGCAGAGCTCAATTCCTGTGCACGAGGTTTTGTCCTTATTTCACGGCAGCCGTTCCCTGCAAGGGAGGGAATCTTCCCCCTGCTGACAACTTTTATTTTTTATTTGTTGGATCCTGGGAACTCTTTTTTTTTCCCACTCTTTTTTTTTTAAAGAAAAACTGCAGCTGATTTGTTTCAATTTGCAGCTGCGTTCAGCTCAGCAGTTCCATGTTATGTTCAGATAAATGTCAGGAGGATCCAGGAATATTACTTGGGATGAATGGGACCTTAAGATGGATGTGACTTAATTACTTTAGGGAAAAAGGAGGGGTCTAATTATCTTCCATAACCAACTTACTTTGTATTATAGAATTGACTCTATTGATCATTGTAATAAAATTCAAAGACTTATTAAACTCATTTGGGGGGAGAATCATTGAAATGCAATGAAGATTAATTATAGAGCATAATGTTCTGTTAATTGAGTTTTTAAATAGTTTTTTGATTAACAGGGATATTATCTTTCCATTTGGGATGGTGTTTCATATGCTAGCAGGTTATCAAAATGATTCTTTTAGAAACACTCCTGTGTTATGCTGTTTCTTTTTGTTCTTACTGTTAAACTAACATTATGTATAGAAACCCCCTGAAGTAAAGCAGGTTAATAAAAACAAAATTAATGGCACTCTATTGGAATTGCTGTGTAAAGGAGAAAATTAAGATGGATGATATGGTTGTGTATGAAACCTGGTGGAAGTGATGATAAACTACTGATAGAGTCTCTGCCAGGAGAGAGGAAAGAAAACACCATTGTTCAGAATAAAACCACGTGTTCCTGGGGCTCCTTCCCCTGGGCATGGGGGGCACAGGGTGGGTGGGATGCCAGGAGGGGACAGGGAACTGGCAGGGGGGAGTTCTGAGCTGCCTTCAGTCTGTGGTAAATGCTGGGCTTTGCACAGTTTCTGGGTGGGGAAGGTCAGGATGACTTTTGAGTGAATTACAGGCACCATTTCACCTCCTTTGGGGAGCTTCCAGGGACAGCTTACCTCCGCATGTGCTTTGCTCCTTCACAGTGCCGTTGTACCAGCCAGCTTGCTGGAACCTCGAATCACCCATTGCTCTGTTCCACTCGTTGCACGCTGGATTTCTGCATGAACTCCACTGGAAGCAAAATCGTTTACCTTGTGGCACCCTGTGCCTGATGAGCTTTAAAGCCGTGCAGAGCTCCCAGCGCCTGCTGCCAGCACGGGTGCTGCTGCAGCTGCCTCCCCAGCACCCCAACACAGGCAGGGTGATACCCAGCTAGAGCCACCCCCGGGCATCCCCATCCCTCCTTTTCTGTTCCCAAAGAAGCCGGCAAGGCCAGCACAGGGCTGGGGCATGCTGGCAGCACCCCAGTGCTGGGGGTCAGCAGGGATGGCCAAGGGGTGTTTGCAGCGTGAGGGTCAAAGAGGAGGAGAAATATTGCAGCTAGCGGGGACAGAATTAGGAGAGCTGGTGCATCCTCGCTATTTAACACATTTCCAATTACTAGAAGCTAAGTTAATTTGGAAATTACTCTTGAAAAGTAAGCGGTGGCCCCTGGATAACTGCCATATGAGCTAGGAAACGTAGGAGGAAAAATCTTATGTGGGAGTCTGCTCTTGGCTGGCTTTCCAGTGGGTGTGCACGTGTGGGGAAAGGGTGATGGGGTGTCTGTGTATGTGCACAAACATGTGACACATGCATGTCAGTGGCAGGGAGGAGCAGAGCAGCCATCTGTGGCGCTGGTCCATTGCTGGGACATCGGTTTCAGCCTCCCTGTGCTGCCCAAGCTGCCCCATCCTGGTGCCAACGCCTCATCATCTCGTCGGGGTAACTCGGTCCCATCACTCAATATATCGAATGCTAACATTCAGGGCATGACCTCTGAGGCTCTGAGCCCTGGGAAATCACTTCTTGTATTATTTCTCCATTAATCCAATAGTTCTGTTGTTCAACCATCTCCCTATGTCTGGGATAAATGCACCTGTAGTTGGCCGGCAGGAACAGCAAAACCAGGGCTCTGGGGATAAAGTGCTGTGGTGACAGGTACATCTTCTGAGAAGGCTTTTCCCCTGGAACTATGTTGCTTCCAAGAAGCTGCAGGTGGGGACGCAGCAGGCTTTTCACTGTGAAACCAACCGGTATGGCCTTGGTGTGTCCGTCAGCAGACGGCTCAGGGAGCAGCCAGCCATAATGCTCTCCTCTCTCCTGCCCCCCAGATAAGACTGTGAAGCTATGGAAGGTCAGCGAGCGGGACAAGAGACCGGAGGGATACAATCTCAAGGATGAGGATGGCCGGCTCCGAGACCCCTCCATGATCACCATGCTACGGGTGAGTGCAGGGAGACCAAGGCTGTCAAGGAGCTTTTCTTTTCAGGGTCTTAGATGAAAATTGCTGCCGGTGTCACCTATGTGCCACAGTACTGGTAGTGCCATCCTGACGTGGTAGGTAGGTCAATGTCAGAGGGCAGGGAGGTGCTCCTTGTTTTGGAGGCTGGTGCTTTGGCTGGTGTGTGTGTATGGGAGTGGAGGAGGGAGCTGCTGCTGGAGCAGTGCCCGGGCTATGCCAGCGCTGGGCAGGCGTGCTGTGAAATGCTGCGTTTCATCTCAGTCAGGTACCCCAGTGCCATGGCGCTGCTGCTGCCCTGCCCTGCCCTGCATGCCTGTCCTGGCAAGGAGGCAGTTAACTAGCTCTTCCTTCTTAGTGCCTTTGCAAGCGCAACTTCTGCTTCGGGAGCATAAGTACTTTCTCTAAATGAGTTTTCCTCCCAGCCTAAGGAGATTAAAACCGGCCTCCTGAATCAAATGTAAACACCTAAGGCTACATTTTCCATTTACTGCAAGGGGGATGGATGCACAGACCCCATTAAAGCAGCCGCCCCTGCGCCCCAGGAGTGCGTCCGTCGCTGCAGGGAAGCCTGGCAAGGGGAGGCACATGGGCACAGCAGTGCCTGTCTGCTGGGCATTGCTTTGCCTCCCTGGGAGCTGACTGCACCTGGCCAGCAGCACAGGCAAATTTGCTCTTCCCCAAGTGCTGCCCTGGGATAGCTGTTTATGATCTTCAATTTGCATATAAAGAGCCAGCTCCGGCCCAAGGCCGTGGGCGCCCTGTTAATTCAATCAGAGCTCACCCTGCCCCCCCGGGGAGCTCCAGCAGCTCCAGTAGTGGGTACAGGCAGCAGGTACAGGCAGGGCTGGAGACCCTGAGCATGTGGGCTCCAGCAGTGAGCAGGGTGCCCCTCTGCAAATGCAGAGAAGCCATGCTCCCTCCTGCTTGATATTAGAGCAGAAACAGACAATAACTCCTTTAACCTGTAGGCCAAGAAATGCCAAGTATGCAGTCAGTTTGTCATTACATTAATCTGACCAGCCCAGCTTGTAATTTATTAGCGTCCTATCAGAATTTGCATTTTGAGTACTTGGGGGTTTTATGTTTATGTATATGAAGTTGTTGCTATGATTACCCTTGGCTCACTTTTATGGGTTCCAGTTCCATTGCAGATGAAGCTGTTGAGAATCCCAAACAGGTAGTTAATTCTCTCCTCCAGACTGAGTTGCTTCTTGGTGGCTGGCAGGCATTTTTCTTTACTGAACAAGAAAACATTTTATTTCATGTATATATGTATCTGCTGTCATGTTTCAGGCAGCGTTTCCAGCCTAGTATGCCATTACCTAGACAGCCTGTTGGAGGAGTTTGCTCGGGATCTGGATGTTGGAGCTGGGGTTATCTATCCTCTGCAGGGCTGGGAGGCAGGTTTTAAAAAGACAGCAGTGCTCAGGGGTATACTGTAGTTAGTGCTTCCTTCTCTGGCTAAACACACTGGAAAAGCCCTGGGCTTACTGAAGAAATGCAGTCACAGTTTTGCCTAGATCTGCTAGGCAAAATCTAGGTGCCCGTGACAAGCTCTGCTGCGGGAGGCTGTCGGCGTCAGTCCCGTGCCCGGTGGCCTCCTGAGCACCCCAGCACACTGCTGGAAACCTTGCAAAACAGCAAATGCAAGGTCAGCATTCTCAAAGGAGCAATTTTTGAATATTGATTTATTTTTATTGCTAGTGTATTCTTTAAGAACATTGAATTTCTGGGGGAGGTGAAGCAACTCAAGAGTCCAGGATAAATGTGATGCATATTTCTTTTCTTTTCCAACACAAACTGTATTAAAACTGCCAAAACATCAACGTAAGCTTTTAAGCAAAGCATTTCCTTATGGGAACACTGAGTTTTGATGTTTTGAAATGGAACTTTTTAACCTTTGGAAAATGCATTTTTGTCTTTGGGGTTGACCTGGCTATCAGCTCTGTAGGTGTCACCAGATCCATCTCGCCTGCAGTGGCTGCCAGCCGGCCAGCCCGGCACTGGCAGGCATGGGGAACGCAGGGGGATGTGTGCCACAGCCCTGTCTGCCCAGGCATGCTGGTGGGTCCCCCCTTGCCCGGGCGAGTGGTGGCCACGAGGAGCACGGCGGGTGGCCCTGGCCATGTGGCACTGTGTCCCCTCCTGTCCGTGGTGCCAGCTCTGCTGCCCTCCCCGCGGCACTGCTCATGTTGGCTTTGCAGTGCTGTGTGTGCCCAGGCGCTTAACGCTATCGCTATCATTTAGCTGCTCCTCCTCCTTCTCTTACCTGGGGTACAGACACTCGGGTGGGAAGAACAGGCAGCCCGTGTGTGTTTGCTTGGAGGGGGGTACAGGGTGGATGCAGGAGTGCTGAGCTGGTGGGTCGGGCTCCCATCCCCGACCTGCCTCTGTGCTCCTTGTCTGCTCCCGCTGCACCGGTGGGAAGCGACTGTCGATCGATTGGAGCCTGCAATGAGGGTAATGACGCCTCGGCAGGGTGCACGGGTGATGTGGTTATGAAAATAAATAAATAATTGTTGTGCTTATCTTTGCTATTGATTGTTGGTGTGAGCTGATTGCATTTGACCACATCCTGGTGCTAGAATTGGCAACCACAGGGCTGAAGCAGAGCCGAAAATCAACATGGGTGTTCTTGCAAGCACTCAACCTGAAGTTGCGCCATCCAGCCCATCCATCACTGCTAGTGCCCAGCGGGGCGCCCCAAGGAGGGCAGGGATGCAGAGATGCTGCCAGCATGGCTGGTGCCAGGTCCAGCCCTGGGCAGTGCAGTGCCGGGAATTTCCCACAGCATACAGGGGCCATGTTTGTGGTGGGGGCAGCCAGCCCATCCCACCAGGCACCCACCTGCCCCATCCCTGCTCACCCCAGGAGCACCCCTGCACTGCTGGGGTGGATGGAGGTGGCAGTGGTCGCTGGAGTTTGTCAGGGAAGGAGGGAACTGTGATTTTTTTTTTTGTCCCTGTAGAAAGTCATACTGAAATGTCAGAGAACTGGACGCTATTTATTGGAGTCCACTGTCTGCCTTGAAAGTTTCAGCCTTCATTTTACTTTCAGTCCATTTATTCCTGGTAGCAGCTTGATGCTGTATGGCTGGAGGAGTTTGCTACTTGGGTGTCTTCCCTTGTGCTATGAGATAAGGCGCTGTGATTCCCCACTCTCTGGCAAGCAGCCTGGCGGGAACATACGGCTCCTGCTTCATGGCAACGGGAAGAAGTAAAACATGATGTAAGTGCTCAGTATTATGGTTATGAGTATCTGCCTATGCAACGCCTGCTGTCCCTGAGGACGGAAGATTGAGGACTCTTCCGCCAGCACCAGTTTGATCTAATGTTTTGATGATTTTACTTAGACAGATATTTACATAGCTGTAACCATTTTGCTGCAGCTTCGTGTATCTTTGATGTTTAATTGTCCTGTGATGCTTGTGCTTTGGAGTAAAGCCGCATCCATCCACAGTTTAATTTTCAACCACAGACAAGCAAAAAAGGGTTTTAAAACCAGCTTGCTGCAATCATCTCTTACCCATTTGTCGTAATGGTTTAAATGTACTTGATAAGCATTGTTCTCTGAGGAGTTTCTAACCCACATAGTGCAAAAGGAATATTTAACTCTGCTCAGACTGTAAAGTAAGGCTTTTGCTGTCATTAAAAGAGCTCTCCTTATTTGGATAGCCTCCAGTCTAATAGCTACAGCCCTTCAGCCTCATTTAACAGCCTCCACAAGCTCTGTGCCGCTCGATGTACAGCTGTACCTACGCCATGGGATGTGTGCAGGAAATAATTAACACAAATAATATCCAGGGCTTAAATCTTTTTAAATAGAGAATGTGTTTGCTTTGATCCCTCACAGTGCAAGTCAGACTGCAGTGAAACACTGGTGTGTGTCCTGCCACTGGTCCCATCCCTCCCACAGGAGGATGCTGCAGGCATCCGGGTGCTGTCTGTCACAAGATGCTGTCTGTGCCTCTGATGGGCAAAACTGGGGGAACCAGACAGGAGAGGCAGCTCCTGGGCCTCCCTTTCCTATAGAGATGGTCTGATCTTTACATTGCTTGTTTAAAGAGAAGCAGCAGCATGCTGTGCTGTCAGCACTGCCTTGGAACATAAGGCCTGAGCGCCAAGTACCACAGGGACAGCCTTCTGCCTCCCCGATGTGCCGGGTGGAGGCTGCTGCTGAAGGATATTCTTGTAACAGGCCACTGTGTGTTCTCAAGCCAGGCTGGGATTTCTTACTCCACCAAGTCCCCTGCTCCTGAGCTACATCCGCAGCAGGGAGAGCAGCTGGGGCTGGCAGGGGCTCTGGTCAGGGGCTCTTGGGAGGGGATGCCACTGCCTTCCCTCCTCTGTCCCAGGGAAACCCAGGGGAGCTCAGATACCATTTGGGAACAACTTTTCCTGCTCCAGGTAGCTGATCTCTGCCCAAGCACTTTAAAATGTTGGTAGGTAAGGAAACACCCTGTAAACTCACTGGTGTGACCCTAATGAGCCCAGGGACCAATTGCTCTGGGCAGCAGGGTTGTGTCTCACCCAGGTTATTAAGGACTTAGTAGATTGCCATGGTACAGAGGGTATTTTTTTGTGGTCTCCACTGGACACCTTCCTGGGTGAGGAATCACCCTCCCAGGCCAAGCGCGACGTGGGTGCAATGAGCAGGTGCATTGATGTGCCCGGTTCTTGGTGTTTGTAGCTGTCACAAAGCTTGCTCTGATTAAGAGCTACCGCTTCACTCTCTCAATTCCAGCAAAATCCATCATAAATTCTGTTTTATATCTCCCATTTTGCCAAAGCAGTCAGGTTTCTTGGCCTGTGGGCACAGTTTCCTGGGGAGGCTGTGCTGTGTTCCCACTGCATCCAGTGCACCCAATGGGCAGCCCCAGAGCAGGGCTGTGTGACGGGAGAGGGAAGGGGATAGGGGATGCTTTGGAGGACTGCCGTGCTGCTGCATTTCTGCCCCAGCAAAGAGATTTGTCTGTCTTTTCC